CTAACAATAACAAATATTTATTTTAAATATGATTAATACATATTTATAAAAGCCCAAAATTATTTCCAAGTAGCATAAAATTCAAATGCAAACCTTTTTATCTGCACTAAAATTTGACAAAAAATATGTATATTCAAACCCAGAAAACATGTATCAGCATTTTGTAAATACCTATACTTTCTATAAGATGGTATCAACTAGAATGTCAGACATAAATAAAAATGAGTTATACAAAAAGGCAGCCACAGAATGGTGTTCTATAAAAAAAAAAGAAGAAGATATTCAAGCAAAAATAAGAGAGTATTCAAATACTCTAGTACAATTGTGTGGTTGTGTTATAGCTTCTACATCCTATAGACAGCTTCCTCAATTTTTTTCTCAATCTTCTAGCAATCTACAACAGCCACAAGTCTCTACTATAACAGAATCCATAGAACCAATTCATAATAATGCAGTAGTATAAAAAAAAAGTTTTAAAACAATTAAAAACTTAGAATCAGAATTGTCAGAATTAGAGAAATAGCCACAATAATGACTAATCCTTAGCATCATAACAACCTTAGCTCTCAGATAACTGAAATTAAAAAAATATTACTAAAGAAGAAAAACAGCTTAAAAAACTCAAAAAACATGTATCTAGTCAACAAAAATCTTAACTAAAAAAATTAAGAGCACTTAATGATAATGGTATTGTTGTAAGATATGACTCTCCCAGTTATCTACTTCTTCTTTTTAACATCCAAATCTTCATAATCAAATTCACAGTGTATAGAATTTGGGGATGCAGATGCAAAAAGAAGATGTAAACTATTAAAGTTAGAACTGTAGAGCATCTTTGAAGTGTTTTAAAAAAAAACTATAATATATATATGTCCCATACTGGCTTGAGAAATTATATTTTACCTCTTTCAAACTGTAGCTTGGAAGCTAGAACCCACCACTATCCTGTATTCATTGGAATTACTAGTATTTCAAGAGATGAAAGAAGAAGCCATATAGACAACTATTACTATCTTGTATCTATGAAAAATACAAGACAATTTGCTATAACTTTTGCTAACTTTACTGTGATACTCTTGCAAGATGATAAAGCAAAAGTTCCAGTCAACATTCCAGTAGTAGGAAGACATTTTCAGGCCATGCAATTTATTAACAAACTAGTATCTGTTTTTGATCATAATTTTTCTATTGGTATATTACAAAAATTAATACTGTCTGTGTATTTGATGATAAATCCCAAAGAATCAAATGAATCTTTACAACATGGTTAATTGTTAATCTTTATTAGAGCTTAATAGCATCTTAGTTCAACATCACTTCACATATAACTGATATCATATCCTTAGTTGATAATGAAATTTTTTTACAATTTTTAAGTATAACAATGAGGTTAAATCTTTATGGATTATTATTGTGGATAGTAGACCTGATAAGAATCCTCATCATTTAAAAAATGTTAATCAATAATGTAAATTATTTTGATTCTTAGATTTAGATTACTTTATAGTTAGGACACACATATGGGCTATTTGGCATACAACTCTAGTGTTTCAAATTGTTAGTTAAAAAACTAACTAGTTGCCAAGTTTCCAACTAATCAATTTGAAAAATTTTTAAACAACTAAATAACTAATTATTCAATTAATATAATTCTGAAATATTCTACTTTATTTAGAATAATTTATAATAATTTCTTGGATTTGATTAGCTAATATCTAAAAATATCACATGATGTGAATAATTGATTAGTTGGTAACTTAAGTTGGCAACTAGTTAATTAGCAAAATTTTACTAACTATGAACACTATACAACCCTATTAAGAGGAGTATAGTTACACTTTCAGGTAGAGTTGTAAAAATTACTATTCCTTAAATTGTTTTGTAGCCAAATTTGCCTACACTTTTTTTAAATTTTAAATTTTTTTTATAAAATTTTAAATATTGATTTTAGCTATATATTTTCTAAATAAAATAAATCTTCTTTAGTATAACTGGGCAATATAAAAATATTATAAGATTATAATATAAAAAAAACTTTAATCTAATCTTAATCTAACTCTAGTTTAAATTATAACCCCACCTTAATCCTAACTATTTATAAATTTGCTTAAATTAGTTTAAATAGTTATTTTTATATATAATAATTCTATATTGCCTAGCTATATTAAAAATTAACTAATAAAATATTTAATTTTAGATTTGTTTTATTAACTTTGTTAAGAAAATTTTTTAAAATTATTAGAAAACTTTAGTA